GGGGGGAGGAAGGTAAGTGTCTGTGAGTTAATGATATTAGAGGTGGGGAAAGTTAGATGTCTGTGAGCTAATGGTATTAGAGGTGATAATTGGGGAAGCTATCTTGGACAAAGACCCCAACTACCTTACCCATTACCTTGCCTTACCCATTACCAAGATAGCTTCCCCAATTATCACCTCTTTTGTGCTACATAGTCCTGCATTTTCCATAATGGTGGCTTTCCTGTTAATCTGCATGGGCTAAATCACTATGCTTACTTCAACTACTTCTAAGAGTTTATAAATTAACAATGGATTTTATATTTTTGTTGGCCCTAGTCTTAATGTTTTAATTTCTAGTCCAAAATATAGAAATGGGTAAAATCTGAAGCAAAAATATTTATACTGAAGTATAAAACAAGTGTATTCTTTTGTGCACTGTTATGGATATGTGTTTGGCAACTCATTTAAAGAGATATTTATATATATCACATACCCTCCACTTTATATTAATTACAATAACATGAAGGGAAAGAAGACCTCTAGTCTTCTAGACTGTTCCCTATTAAGAGACATTGGGCTGAAGTAAATTACTAAAGACAAACTGCCAAAGATAAGAGAATAAATTACTGGGGAAGTGTCCTAACAAAAATAAATTTAGTATTTTATGGAAGTTTATAGAATGTGATATGAACAACAAAATAGATTTATGTCACAACCGTTACTGTTGTTTACTTCACAGTAATGAGTAATTCAAGATTGTAAAGTAGTTTGGAAATAAGTGCTTATTATCATGCATTCATTATTTCTGTTTTTTCTCTATAGCTTGGACAATCAGTAGCATGTCCTTCTGAGAAACTCTACTCTTTTTCTGATCTTCAGTCAAGTAAGTAGTCACCATTCACATTGCTGTAAATGCGTAATGTGATTGCTTTGTTTCCTTCTGGCTTGCCCTTCTTTCTATGGAATGAATCATAACTATAAAAAATGACAGTGTAGAATGCAAGGAAAGATCCTCTTTGAACTGCTGAAATTTGAGGGAAATTAGGTTACATTTTTTCTACTGCCAATTCTTTGCTGCTTGCATAACCAAAATTTCCATTAATTTAAGTTGGACTTTTTGCCTTATTTAGCATAGGCACCTTCTTTTAAAGTTTGCTTCTTTAAAATGACCTTATGTCTGCTAAAAGAGGTAAAGATTTCTGAGTTAATTTAGTTTAAAAAATAAATCCACATAGTTTTTGATCATAACCTTATACCTATTTTTGTTTGTCATGAATTTATTATTACTTTTGTGCATAAAAGATTCAATGGAATATCTAATAGAAAAATAAGACTGAGACTCTTGTTAAATGTTCTTTTTTTCTGAAAAATTAAATGTGGACAGAAAGATCAGACTCTGCTAATATGATTCTTGTGTTTCCACAAATGTCAGGTACTCGTGGAATGGTTCTGGCTTCTAATCTTTCAAAGTTAAGCTGCTGTAAGTCTCTAGCAGTCTAACTTGAATGGCAAAATATACATTTAGTGCAATTTATTGATGCATAAAGGAAAATTAATAACTAAAGGGACATTGTGTAGATTAACAAACATTTTGCTTACCTTTCAAAACTGTTCTAATTTGGCTAGGCACTGTAGTCTGGATTTTAAATAACTTCCCATATGTACCTTCATTGAAATATTTAAAACCCTAAACCCAATACTTTTTCTTACTACAATATTTTTTCTGTTTTAGTGCCTGCCATTGTATAAAACAAGAACAAAGGAACATTAGTAATGTAACCAGTTTCTGAGTGATAACTCGGAATTACAATGGCTGGCTATTTTTAAATGAAATGGTTTAGGAAGATTAAAAACGGGATTAGATACTTAGATGAATGCTAACAGCATTTACTATTACTCCAGTGAGATTATAGAGTTAAAACTTATTGATCCTTGTGCTGGAATCAGGAAGAAGTTTCCCTTTATAATGTAATACAGGTTGAACATCTCTAGTTTGGCACCCTCAGGTCCTGACTGGTGCCGAGCCAGAGATTTGCTGGATCATGGGAGGTCAATATTGTCTAGCAGCATTACCAGCACTTCTACTGCTTACGGGGCTTATAGAAGACATTTAGGGGGAAATTAGAGCTAAATAACAGCACAGAACACTGAGAGCCAGGACTGGTGGCTGTAAATAAACTTTATGGGACTGCAGGAAACTTGGCCACGCCCATGATAAGAGGACATCCAGCTAACTAAAATCATGCTGGACCAGAGACTGTGGGGCTAGAGAGTTTCAACCGGTGTTGTACAGTTGGTAAGGTGTGCAGTGGGCAGTGCGTTTCCTTTTAAGCTTTGGGTATCGGCTGCTGCTATGGCTTATTTTTATGTTATGGTCTTAATTTCTTGCCTATTGACATGGGGTAATAGGTGTGGAGAACAATATCTCCTGAGAGGTACTAAAAGGTTTGAACTCACCTTGGCTTTATTGAAGTCGGTGGGAATCAGAAGTGTTAGGAACTGAAGTAGCTCAAGGATCAGGCCGAATGTGAATAAAGTGATAGTCTGTGAACCCCTGACAGAAAACTTGAAATAATATTCTCATTCTTAAGAAAATCCAGGCATTGCATAGAACGTTCGCTGTTTCTCCATTGCTGTAAAACCATATATTATTCTTTAGAAGTTGTAGTGTATGCAGAAAGGAGTATATTTACAACGTTGTGTGCAGATACTTTGCTATCTGCCTCTCGTCAGTAGCAGCTGCATAACTAAATGCCTGTGTATAATTTTAAATTTAATTTTAAATTTGTCACGAACCTTACCATAATATTGTCTCTCCCAAATTCAAGTCTGATGCAGTTAAACAGGCTTCTAAGCATACAAAATTAAGGTGTTTACAGGTTTTGTTTCACTTTGATTTTTGATCTCATGATGAATTGGGAAAAACATTTGCCATTAAATATCTCACAAGACTTCTTTTGTAAGAATTGCTGGTGTCTTGGACGAATTCCAGTTTGAGTAATTACATTCTGCTTCAGTCTCTCTAAATTCTCCCTGAAGTTTCAGTTGGATGCAATATTCTTGTTCACATCTGTCCTAAAACTGTAGTGTCCCTCTGCACTGGGGTGTTAATTATTGCTGTGTTCTGTCCCAGAATTGGTTTTCTTTCAGTGCTGGGGAGGTGAAGTGAATCCAGTCTGTCTGTCTTTGTAATACGTAATAATATGCTGTCACGTGCATTTGGATTATTTGGAATGTATGGTATTTTGTAAATGCAAAATATTGTGATATTTTATAAAGCTTGAAGGAAAAACAATCTCATGGTCCAACGAGGCCACGTAGCTTATAGAGAAAGCTGGTGACATTTGGAGCAATTTTAGCTGGTGTTTTCAGCTCTGCTATTGGCTGCTTGCAGATTATAGGCCGCAGAGTTCCTGGCAGTGATGGTTCTTGTGCGTACATCAGAGGTGGGGAACCTAAGGCCCAGGTGCCACATGTGGTCCTACGGGCTCCTCCCCCAAGCATTGGGAAGCCTGCACTACTACTCTAGCCTCCACTACTCCCTCCCTGGCTGATTTTTCTGTGGGTTGGTAGCTCCCAACCTAAAAAAGGTTCCCCACTCCGGTATACATCGTGTGTCCAAGATGAGGTTTGGTTTCGTGCATGGTGAGTGTGTGTGTAATATGTATATTGTATTTGTGTGTATGTGTATATTTATATGTATATTATATATATGTGTGTGTGTGTGTATATGCATGTATAATATAAAAGCGCGCGCGCGTGTGTGTGTGTGTGTGTTTACACAGTGGAATGATAATGGCAATTTGTTGGACCTACTGTAGCTAATGATTTCTGAGTGTGTGGTGTAGAAGAGTTTATTTTTGAAGTACAATTGAGTGAGTAAGGCACCAAGCACTGTCTCCTTTTAGTGGTTGATTTAGTGTTTTTGGGAATGGAATCCATATTAAGTTATTTTACTCCAACTCTCTGTGTGTTCTACAGGTGTCTAATGTTGCAAATTTTCTTCTATAAATGCCTGCCAAATTATTTCAGAGGAATTTGATTTGACCCCCCACTTAACGAAAGTCATTTCTATTTCCTAGTGCAGCTTAAGATTTAAAATGATAGAACCAAGTTAACCCTTGTGCAGATGGGTGCAACTTCACTGGAGTTTTGTTTGCTCTGTGAGTGATGAATTTAATCAGTAAGATAATAAACTCACTGTGAAACTTTCCTCTATGACTGACATTTATATTCAACTGCATTACCTTTCTTTCATTACTCTTTGTTGTAACTAGACTAAAAAAAAGGAGGAGATGAGGAAGAAATCTGGCCCAGTGAACTAGGATTAGGAAGTTCAGATTTTTGTTCCGTGCTCTGATATTAATTTGCAATGTGCACAGATGAGTAGATGAGGCATTTATTGTCCTCATTTGGAATTGTGACTTCATTATTTAATATCAGAATAATGCTTACTTTAATTAGTGCTGGTTTTACAGGTCAGATTTCTTTAGAAAAAGGGTATATTTCCCTTTCTGTGTGTACCATCCTCCTTTAACTCTGCAAAAGGTTCTGCTTATTCCATTTATTAAAATAAAGCTATTTGTGATACTTAATATGAGGAATGTGATCTAAGAATACACCCTGTTGTTAGGAGGATGAAATTGAAGGGTAACATGCAAACACATTTTCATTGTAACAAACTCGGTTAACTAATTCAGTATTTAACATGTAGTATCTGCTTATGCATCTGTTCTATCATTAGGTTTGTGATCATTCATTCACAGTGTTTGTGATTTGGCAGTAGCAACTTGATAAACTTTGCTTAGTGATGAAATGTAGCTGTCATAAATAGTGGCTATAGTTCACTGCTGTCAAAATTAAATTTGGAGATAGAAATGTCTAGATTGCACAGCTGCCATTAAACTCATTAGAGATTTTGGCAGAAGGTTTAATTCATACTTTCTTGTGTCTTCTGTAAGATATTGAAGAGTTAAGTGAAGAAATGAAAGAGGGTCTCAAGCACCTGGCCCAGACACTGCAGATATATTTGAGAGTGGAGATCCAGGATGCTTCCCAGCTGCTACCCACAATAGACATTTTTCAGATCTTCGCAAAAGTAAGTGGTAACTTTGCCTTGTCAGGAATCAATTTTATCTACAACTCTTCTTGATTTATTTTTTGGGTGTACAACATATCCAGAGAGCTTTCTGAAAATGCAGTGATGTATGACATAATGTCAGATTGACTATAAAGTCCATTCCATTTCAGAAATAATTTAAGCAAATTTCCATCCCTTGAATAGCCGTTTTTCCTTTGATATGATTGCTACTTAAATTAAAATAAGCCATTGCATAAAAAGGGAATTTTAAAATGAACACGACATTTTTGGTGTAATAGAGGATGAAGATTGAAAAATGGCTTAGAATGATGAATAAGTCATTTCTTTTCCAGCTATCTTGTTTTTTTAAAAAGATAGTCTGCTTTTTCCTTCGGAATATTTCTGCGAAATATAATGTCCTATATTTGTAGATATATTCATGTTTCTGTGTTGTCCTTTTAATAACAAGAGTTAACATGTTCCATAGCTCTACTGCATTCCTAAAATTGTATTTGCAGGTGTCAGAGGCCATCCGTAACGAGATGGTAGACAATAGAGGATCTGATAGAAGTATTGGAGTTTTTTACACATCTTCTCAATATTCATTATGTGCTAAATACCACTGACTTTTCCAGTACATATTTTGTTGCCTATGTCCTAAGAAGTTTCATTAAACAATTCCTTTAGAGATATAATATCTGGAGAATAACTAAATTTCTACCTAATAATTTTAGATTTTTTTTCTTATTGGTTGATAGGACAGTCATATATATTCCAGTATGACTAATCTTTCTCACCTTTACACACACATGTTGTGTTTTAGGGATGTGAACAACTAGTCAACATACTAGCCGACTAGTCACTCTCCTGCCCCTCCCCCCAAGTGGGGGAAGATGAGGGGTGCTTCAGATTGGCAGTGCCATGGGGAGCCTGGGGCCAGACACTGGGCTTCATGCGGTGCTACCATTTTGAAATGCTGCATGCAGCCCAGGTCCAACTGGGGACGGCACATGGTGTTTCAAAGTGGCAGCACCTCATGGAGTGTGGGGTCAGCTAGGGACTCCCCCACTGACCCTGGGCTCCATGCGGTGCTGCTGCTTTGAAACGCTGCCGGGAGCACGGGGCCAGTAGGGGACTGCTTGAGTCCCCTGCTGGCCCTGTGCTCCCCGCAGTGCTTTCACCTATGAAGTGTAGCAACAGCCCTGGGGCTGTTGCTACACTTCAAAGGAGGAGGCGCTCTTATCGACTAATTGAATAGTTGTTGCAAATTGCATAGACTAATCGATTAGCCAATTGATCTAAATTTAACATCCTTATTGTGTTTAACTGTTTTTACATTACAACGTGATCCAAAAATGCTTATCCAATAAAAGAGAGTCTCTCAATAGTTGCAGTGTATAGATCTTTTTCACCGTTCACATAATGGATTGAATGTTTCTGCAGTGAAAGAAAAACTGAAATGGAACACGAGCCTCATTATCAAATATATTGCCTAGATTGAATTTTTACTGATGCTGAACTTGGTGACTAATTTTAGTTGCATCTTTCTCTGGCAAACCATGGTTATTATTATGAAGTGTGACATTTGTGGCAATGAAGAAAGTTCCCAGTAAGCCAGATGAATCACTTAAAACCTGTATGCAGTGTGCTTCTGCCCCACTAAGTACCTTTAGTTATTTTGTGCAAGCCCCCTATGCTGGTGTGAATTTTACCAGGTGAATTTCACTTGAAATGTGCATAGGTATTAATCCTGTGTAGAGAATTGGTATCATGGCGAATAAATCTGAGATTTAGAAGATGAGCCTTGATTAGTGGAATCATTCAAGTCATAGGTTGCCATGCTGCAGCCTTGTTCATAATACGTAATCCCTGAAACAGAAGCTGTAGTGATACTGGGTCTGGCCCTGTTCTTCCCATGCACATCTATCCGAGCCAAAGTGTACATATTGTCTACAAATGAAAAATAGTGTTATTACAACTTTTAGGTTTACATGAATAGTGATAGAACACAACAAAGAGAGCCCTATGAAGTAGCTGGAAAATAAAGCCTTTAAAAGATGCAGGCACCTTTCATAGGTCTTTCTTATTGCCCTTGTGTAATACTCTTTGACTCTCACTGGGCACCTCTTTAATGCATCCCCTTGTGGCTGAGCATTTGTTTCTATTTCCATGTTGATTTAGAAATGTGACCTGTACTGCTTGGTCTCTCTTTAGGGCTCCAGCCTTTCCTACTCTTTTGAGGTAATAAGAGGTGAGTGCCATGGAGTCCTGGAGTGGGCCCCTGTTGGTGGTCTCAGGCCTGATATGTCCCATTCCCTCCCTTGTCAGGGGAAGGACAGAGGAAATCGAAGCAGGAACAATAATAAAGTTCAGCAGATTTATATTATGATCAGCACTCTGGAGCTTCTGCAATCTCTGCCCCCTTCCTTAGGAAGAGTGAGAGGAGAAAGCAGACCTATATCCCCCTATGAGTCCCAGCCCGGGATCTCTGAGTTGGGTAGGCAAGGACTGTTTGTTTAGGTCTCCTGCTACCTCCCTGGGCTGCTAGCTATCTTTTGCGGGCATCTTCTGCGTGGTAACCTTCCCTGGATACTTCTGCCAGGAAATTGGTCTCTCTGGGCAGCTTTCCCCAGTCTGATGCAGTGGAGCTCTTCAATAATGGCTCCCAGACTCTCCTGTAGCTGCCTTTCTCCATCTGCGTTGCAGCTTGTTATTCCCGTTGTTGCTAACCAGACATTTAGCAGCAGCTAGAGAAGTGATTGCTCTCGTTATTAACTCTTTAGTGTTTGCTGTCATGTTGGGGTCTAAATACCCCATGTGGTGGCGCGTCGGGGTTCCCCCGCCTCCTTGCACCCCCGTAGTGGCACTAACAGACTCCCCCAGCCAGTAGAATATAGGGAGTTTATTGCTTCTCCAGGATACAGCACAGCATAGATGTAATCTGGTTACAGGGCAGGCCTAGGATGCCTCAGCCCCCCTTGAGATGGGGGAGACTGGGCCCCTAAATCCCAGCCCCTTGCTTAGGCTGCTTCCTCTATGATACCAGACAGAAACTAAAACTCTCTTCCAGCCCTGCCCCCCAGCCAGGTGCTGGTCTCCGCCCTCCTTCCTTTGTCTCCCTCCCTGGGAGGCTGAGCCTGGGTGTCTGGGTTAATATACATTTGGGAGAGTCAATGAGAATCTCCCATCACAGCGCAGGGGGACCCCGGGTCACAGAGCAGACAGCACCCCCACTACGCCACACCCCATCACACATACCATCAAATTGTTTATAAAATACAGGGTGGGTTAGTGAATTAAATCATTTGTCTTTGTAAGATGTTGGAAGGATTCTTAATTGTTTGGTTAGGACTTCTTAAAATATGTGCATTCATTTCATGGTTGGCAAAAACTGTAGACACTTGATGTTCATAGTGTGGAGAATTGAGCAAACCACTACAAAATTGTAATTTATATGCAATTTCTAGTACTTGGCAAATATTATGCTACATAGTTCTCTTTGCTATGTGGCACAGAAAGGAACAAAATGCATTCATATTGGTGAGCATATAGAAGTACATATGTGTATTTTTGTATATATACATACAAGTAAGGCAGAAATGACCTTGCTCCTTTCTAAGGACAGAACTGCCCCTCTGCTGCCTGTCCTCCCCTACCTTCTACCACTGTGAAATTCCTTGTGTGGTTATAAAGAGGGAAGTAGCCATTGCAGCAGGCATGCATCCTGTGCAGAGCATGGATTTCTTAGCAGAAACTCCTGGGTGACTTAGTGCTATATTTTTATATTTTTAAAATTGAAGTGCTTGGTCAGATTCAAAGAAAGATTAGCTGGATGAGGGAAACATTCAGATGTACATGAGAGAGGTTTTTTTCCCCCAGAAGGGAATATAAACCCTTATGCTTCATGGTTTAACCAAAGAAGCTGTCAGAGACTTTATGGGCAGATTATTCATCAGTTTTCCACTTCAGGTTGGACCTCTCTGGTCCAGTACCTTTGGGACCTCACTGGTCCCAGATGAGGGAATTTTCCAGACCAGGGAGGGGTCATTTCTGGGCCCCCTTGCTGCCGGCCCCCTCTGCCCTGACCTCCTACACCCAGCTTCTTGGCTCTCTCCCTTCCCCTTCCCTCTCCCACAGCCCAACTGAGCCATACACCGGCTCTCGGACTCCTCCCTCCCCCTTGCATGCCAGCTGAGCCACGCACAGTGGGACTTTCTGATCCTGGAACATCCGTGATCCTTCTTTACCAAGGATGTTACTAGACCAGAGAATTCTGGTTTATAGGGGTGCAACTGGTATAGATTTTAGTGCACCTTCTTCTCAACTGCCAGTTGCTGGCCTCTGTTGGATACTAGAGCTGGCATAATTGGGCCAGTGTTCTGATCTAGAATGACAGTGCTTTCATTCTTATGTTCCTGTGTTCCAAATGAGAATTTGTTCAATATTTCTCGTTGGCTTCCAGCCTAGACTGAGACTTTGTTGAATTGGAGTAAACTTACAACGTGTGTTCTGGGTTTTTAAAATTCTGGTTTTGAAAATGGGAGCTGTTTGAATTTCCTTCTAGTTCTTGTACATCTGTCTCTTATAGATCATACAAAAACAGATTGGAAAGAAGCTTTGCTAACAGTAATTAAACTGGTTCTAAAGACCTGCATCTACATGGCTTGATAAACCTTTACTATTTGTCAATATATGTAGTTATGTGTATTTGCTGTAGGAACTTCCACAGTGGCAGTAATGCGTTCTTTGTTTTGATAGCACCTAAAAGTGCCAATATGAATGAGGCCCCAGTGTAGCAGGTGCTGTACAAACCCATACAAGAGAAGTGGTCCTTGTGTTGACAAGCTTTAAATCCCATTGCACAGATGGATGCAATACGTGGGTATAACAAACAGCATGTGGGAGGGAATTGCAAGAGACCAATGAGATAGCTATGATCCACTCGATAAGCAGCAGTCAGAGCACATCAGCTGCCTAGTGTCTGTTGAGGTTTTTTTGGTAGGCTAAGTGGCAGAGGA